TGTACATTTGCTGTTATATTAAAGTTTTTCTTCATTACCCATTCAAGCCATCTCCAGCCATTATTACTTCTCTAGTTATTTCCCTTACTTCTATATCACACATTTACTCTCACTCTGATCTGGATTGTCTCCTATGTCCAGTTTGTGCTTTACAGTGTTACATGTTGTGCACAGCATCCTTCTGTGGCTCTTGCTTCCATTTGTTATCCATTGAAACCTGTCCAATTCTAGTGATATTCTCCTATTACCCTTACTGGTTGGGTTCATCAGGTTATCTGTATTATGTATTCCTCCCTTTCTCCTTTATTGTACATCTGATCCATCACCTCCCAATGTCCTTGGCTGTTCATTTCTGTCATTCTTTGAAGGAAGTTATTTAGACTGACATGTGGACCACTCCACACACTTTGGTGTCATGCTACTTGCCCCATTTGGTGGTTTCCTGTTCAGCTGGATATTGTCTTCCCCTTGTAACCATTCTCCATATGTCGGTACAACTCTGAGTGGGTAAGTTATTTTTGTTTCTTTTCTCATTTTTTTTCAGGGACCTACTTCATATGTTATGGATCTTGCTTGGTGGTGAGTGGTGCCTGTCTGGTATACTGATATCCAAAATCTGCACCGTGAGATCTATAAGGTCCATCATGTTCACTGTTGAGATGGGGTGTTCCACAAAACTGCTTGCTGGTTCTTCCTCTTCAAGGCTAGTGGCAAGCGAAAATTTGTGCACTAGAGAGCAGTCAAATTGAGTGCGTGTTTGTTGAAAATACTTTTTTTTTAAAGTTAAAGAAAACTACCATAAACAGAATACTGGATTAACCACAGGTTCCCCTCTTTTTCCCCACTGCTTTATGACTTATATGGATAGTTTTGAATGTATTGCTCTCAATAATACCTCTTTAAAGCCTGATTATTGGATTAGCTTCTTGGATGGTATGTTTTTGATTTTACAACATTGAGATGTCGAGTTGAAAACACTTGCTGATTATCTAAGTAATGTTAATTCTTCTAAGTGTACAGGGGGTGCCCATTATACATTGTGATGCATTCCTGGAAAGTGGGATGCACATCTGAAACAATGTTAATCAACACAATCTTTAAATGTGTTATGAACAATTTCAGTTCACCTGTGAATAACTTTTTTAAATGGTGCAACATGGCTTTTTTTAACTACAGTATAGTAAACAAAACATGTTGTAAGAACATTAAAGGACTAAACATTGATATTGTTTAATACATACGAGTACTGTAGTGGTTGTAAGGCTTGTATAGGTGAGTGAGTATGACACGGGCTTGGTCAAATTGACCAACCACGAGATATCTTCCCCCTAGGAACAAAGCTTGTAACCAAACAAGATTGAAGGCTTTGTCAGAACAATGACAATATTATAGTGAGTAATTTATGTTAAATTTTCTACTTATTGGAGGTATGGTGAATAAATTAGAGAAGTGGGGATGCCTATTGAAATAATGTCACATTTCTCTTTTTTTTTTATATTGCCTTATAGAATTAAGAACTTAAAATTTATATAATATTAAAAGATTACTAGCTACGATTTTATGCTGTACTAATTGGCATAACATATACAAAAAGTAGTCTAAGTTTTGATTGTAATTCACTAAATTCTTCGTGACATGGGCAGTAAAGGATGCATGGGCAGAGAAGGTTAACACTAGTAAAGAAACAAGGCAACATTGTTTCAAAAATATTGTAGGTAATTGATAAATACTACACCAGGAATAGTAGTTGACAGTGTTGTAATGCTCTAGTAACGAAACAAGGCAACGTTGTTTGATACATGGGTAGTAATTGGTGAATGCACTACTAATAAAACGACACAGAGCAATGTAATGTATAATGGGGACCCACTGTATTTTGTTTTATTATTAGATTGAACAAGGTAATTGGTCACATTTTTGGTGTATTTGTTAAAAAAAATATTAATAGAACTATTTCTACAACTGTCTCCATGTTGGCACAAGAAAGATGATGTTATTCATCTTCTCAGAAACTAACAGATTTTCATACTTATATAGACAGAGCATTTAAAATTTGTTTCAATATATTTAATTTGAAGAATAAATTGAATTATATAAAAAGCATTGCTAATGATAAGAGGTTATCATGTTGGCGTAATTAAACGTATATTGCAGAAAAAATATAAAAAATTTTGTTAAGCATTGTACTAGATTAAACTGTCTACATAAAGAAAATTAATATTGCCATATATATACAAGATGTAATTAGTCAAACTGCCAGTGTGTTCAACAAACTTAATTTTATTCCTATTTTTAAACCAATTAACAAAATTAAAACAAGACTTTCTAATACTAAAGAGAGAAAAGATATCTTGGATAAAAAAAAAGGTATTTATAAAATTTAATGTGAATGCAATAAAAAATGTATTGATCAAACTAAACATGACTTAAAATATTGTCTCAATGAACATATAGGTTATGTCTATATACTATAAAGATGCTAATTTTTCTACTTGCTAAAAATGCTGTCAAAACAGTTCATTTGATACAATGACATGAAACAATAATTTTTAAATGAACCTAACACTCAAAGTGAATTGAATATTGGAGAATCAACAGAAATTTTGTGCTGTAAGTTAAATCTTTGCCAAATAGAGATGAAGGGTTAGTTGATGCCAGTGTGCAGCCTTGGAAAGCAATATTGTCATACCAACCTTAAAGTTTACAATGATTTAAGAAGCCTTTTCTCTATAAAGGTATCCTGTTGTGAATGTTTTTACTCTTAATGATGGCAGCATAAAGCTACCAATAGATTTAGTCTTTTAATGTTGACAGTCAACCATATAAAGCTTTTATTGTGCATTTTAAACATTATTCTTATTTTTAACAGCATGTCTTAAAGCTGGAGATGTGAAATTTCAATCTATAACAAATTTCTTTCAAGGTTGTCTAAAAAGATATTCCTAAGATGGTAATGGGACTGGTTCCCCATGGCCAAGCCAGCCAAAGTGGAATGATGAGGAGAATCCAGCATTTTGTGTAGTTGATCATGTTGAGTACCTAATAAAGAAGGAAGGGTGGGGGGTAGACAGAAAATTGACTTAATGCATCCACAATCAGAAAATTTTTATCTGGAGGCCAACAGGGTGGAAGAAAATGGATGTTTGAAGTTGCAAAAGCATCAGTCATCACACTGTCTAGACCAGTGGTTTCCAAACTTTTTCACTGGCAACACACTAACTCACTTACCTTGATTTGTACAACACCCATGCTGCCACATGCAATATTCTTTAAGAGTTTTTTTTTTATGTTCTCAACTATTCTTCATTTGGTGAAACTCATGACATCCCTAACAACTTGGAAACTACTGACCTAGACATTTGTAAAGCTATTGATAAAACAAAGGGTGGGGAGTAACCATCTATCATTAGAAATAGTCTGGCAGTTATCATCACACCAGGAAACATTGCAGGCTTGAGGTTAAAAATGTTGACAATCGAGCTAAAGAAGTTGAGAACTTGCAGCAAAGGTTGTAAAAGTTCTGCACTAATTTTTGATGTATGCTACCACTGTAGTATTGTGTGTGTGAACTAAGACAAATTGTTGGTGTAGAAGGGCAAGAAATCAGAACAATAATGCTAAACAGCCTAGAGTTTTAACGTGTTGATGTGAGCTGTTGCTTTCAGAAGAAACTGAGTTGTAATACTGAGAAGAGGGCAGTTGTCTCACAGTTAAATTTCCATATGAACATGCAATTTGCCAGGGACACAAACACTCAAAAATGGAAATAATGGTCTGGATATGTTAATCACCAAAAATGATCAACAGTACAGCCATATTATTTTCCTGCTGGAGGCAGATTGTATGAGTAAAACCTCCTTAAGAAGTTGTAAAATATTTGATATTGGTATAAACATTAGCATCAGCAGTTAATCTTTACTTCACAAACATCACAATGAGCAAGGGTTATGTATGTTTTTGTTATGCATGTACAGTAAGTCATTGAGGGTGGGAGGGTGAGGAAATCAGAGTAAGTATATGTATATTTTACATTGTATTAAGGACATTGAGAATTTAAGTCACATTATTGTTGATAGCATGAAAACAACTCAACAAGAAAAATATTTTAGTATTCCAAGGATAGTCTATCTGATTTTAATATATTTTTTCTAGCGAGCATTTTATTCTTATAGCATTTTTTAAATATTTGTAACAAAAATAAATAGTTTAAACTACTAATAGCCATTCATAAATCAGTGAGTCAGTATTTGTTTATTTATTTGGCCTAGGTTGATCATCCTTAATAATTTCTTCCTGATTTTCACTGATTCCAATCTTGCTAGTACTTGCATTTGTAGCTGCAAAATTTTGAATTTTATTCTTAATGCCTCATTTTTGCTTTTCTCTGTAGCCAGTGTCCAGATTCTCATTTTGGAGAAGTACACAATACAAGTTTAGGTTTTGGTCCATTGTATGGTGTTTTATTTTTATGTCACTGAATACTTGTGTAGCAACCTTCGGACAACTTCTGACCCCCCCTTTCAGCCATATTAGATGTTAGCTGACTTTCATAGAATTCTCCTGCTCTGTAATTTATTTCCAGCCCAGTAATATTAAACAAAACATTTTTGTTAGTAGTGTTTAATTGTACCACAATATTTTAGTGTAAAGTTGTGCTACATTTTAAAATGTACAAAGTGTAATTGTAATATGCATAATTGATTGATTTTAGTTTGTTTTTAAAAGTACTTATCTCCAATTTCTCATTTCTCTTTATTTATGTATTTATAGGGAGAATGATTCTGCAAATGGTGATAGGTCTTTTGAGAAACAAAATTATCAAACCGAATCATTGTGTGAACAGCAAGTAGAAGGAATTAATCTTGATAATGAAAAAAGTCCAAATTTCTATAATAAAGAGTTACAAAATCAGGTAAATAACAATCTTGATAAATATGATTCAGTGCTTCTACACAATACTGAACTGAAAAAAGTTGAAATAGATTCAAAATTCTCCAAAAATGAAGAAAAGCCAATTGAAAATAAATATGAATGTGAGGACTTTTTGGAAACACCAGTTGTTCAGACAAGAAGGCAAAAGCAAAAACTTGATGAAATCATAACAGAGCACTCATCTCCAAAAACATCTAAAATACTCGAACATTCTGAGAAAATACAAACTTTCGGTACTGTATCACACTCACCTGGAAAAAATGAAAATGATATAACAAAAAAACAAACTAATAACCTTCCAGAAAAACCTATAACACCCAGAAAACGTGGGCGACCCCGAAAAAATACAGGTGGCAATCAGAAAGACACTGAAAAGTCAAACTTGGAGGAGGAGAAGAATGCAGTGCTTGAATCTTCACCTCAAGATACACCTTTACCAAGAAAAAGAGGGAGACCTAGAAAGTATCCTCTTCAGCCAGCTACTAACCAACAAACAGCTATCAAAGTTGTATCCCCACCAAACCAAAGGAAGCGAGGGCGCCCAAGAAAGACACCAACTTCTGAAAACAAAGGAAATCAAGAGCAGGAGTCGGAACTTAAGAATGAAAGTGATGATAAAACAGAGCTCGAAACTTCATTAAGCAAAGAAATGTTGCTTATAAAAGAAGAAAGTGAGACTTCATCTCAAAATAAAGACCAGTATGATATAACTTTCTCTTCAAAACAAACATGTGATAGGAGCACAAGTGAGACAAAAGTTTCTGAAGAAAACACAACTGTGTTGATGGTTAGAGATCAAGAGCTTAATAAGAAATATTCTTTGGAAAATGTACATATTAATACAAAGACAAATGAAACCAAGTATTCAGAAGAGCATAATAATAAATCTCCTTCAGGAGTTAAACATCTTAATAAGAAAACAAGTGAAATCAAGCATTCAGAAAACTCTGTTAATGAAGGAACAACAACAGTACTAACAGTGAAGCAATATAATAATAGTGCATGTGAATCCAAGCAGTTACAAGAATCTGATAATGAAGAGAGTGTAACTAAAATAGCATTAATGCAACAAGAACATTGTAAAAAGTATCATTCAGTAGGAAAACTTCGAAGTAGGAGCTTGAGTGAAACTAAGCAGCTGGAAGAATCTGGTTTCCAAGCTGACATAATTAAGTTGACACTTGAGCATGAAGAAGGTACTAAGAAACCTCCATCAAGAGCTAAACAACGAAGTAGAAGCATCAGTGGGAATAAGCATTCAGAAGAGTCAGGTAATGAATTTGATGTAATTAAGATGACACCAATACATAAAGAGCAGACTTTAATATCTGAACTGAAATCTAAAAAGGAAGTGGATAAAACAAAAAAGAAAGAAAAGTCAAAAATTTTAGATAATGTAGATAAAGATGGTATGAAAAATGAGAAGATTAAGACAGACAAATTGAGACACTATTCAGCGGAAAGTGAGGGTGGTCAAGTGAAGATCAAAACAAAAAGAATTCATGTCAGAAGAGAATCTCGAACTCCATCTATAGAAGCATTGTCTATCGAACCATCTCTGTTTAGTACCCCAGATGTAATGATTAAAAAGAAATCTGGAAGTAATTCTGAACAACAGCCTGAACATGAGGAACAAACATCAAACACACCTAAAGTAGAAAAACATAAAATATCTTTATTAACAAGACTTGACAGTTCTGAAAAAGATTATCAGAAAAGTTCCATTGACAACAGCAATAAAAATGATGTTTTAAAGACCATAGATAATTCAGTAAAAGATACAAGTGTGATTGAAGAAAGAGTTGAAGATAACAAAAATGAATTTGTTAATCTGAATGAGAAAGTTTTGGAATCTGCAGAGAATTTGATTCCAGTCGAAAATATATCTACAGATGAAAGTAAAACTGCTGAAGTAGATAAGAAACAGAGGTTTACACCTAACCAGAAAAAGCCTGTGGATAATAAATCAAAAGATAATAAGAAGTTTGACAAGGATTCAGATAATGTTCAAAAAAGGAATAGAACAAAGAAGACAAATGGGCTTCAAACACCTAAAAAAGGTATTTTTCAATTTTAGTTGCTTTTACTGTGGAATAGTTTAACCTGTAAAATCAGGAGTACAATACTATACTATCTAGAAAAATAAGTTGAATTTGAAAACCTTTTATAGTTTTCTTCAGTTCATGTTTAAATATAGACCATGGGGCTAATTTATTAAATAACACTTCAGGAATGCTACTCACATCTCCACAGACTTGAGAGCTATTACCTCATGGCACTGACAAAACGTTTTTGTGCCTTTGCCATGCCTGTAAATGAAATTTCAACCCTTACATGTATTAATGTTTGCTGTGCCAGTCTGTGATGCAATTACTTCTAAGCAGTGATTACATTGATTAATGTTAAAAATAATAAACTAATCAAAACTGGTGTGTCTGATTATTCCAACTATTTAAAAAATCAAACACTTTGCTACCAAGATTGTTGTTAAGAAATTAATAACTGTATTCTTTAATATTGTATAAACAGGTGTGGATCTGGGAGGGGGGGATCCTTTTTTTTTCTTCAGAAAGTAATACAATACAGCCAGACATCCTTACACTACCAGGTGGTATTGAAAAGAAATATTAGATGTTAGTGTTTATATTTTATTGAACTATTAATTACCAAAAAATGTTTTTTGGGTTTTCTGAAAACAGTCCGTTTGAGGTTTAACTAAACTTCTTCATTTATACACTTGATCAGAGTATTTGCAGCATTACTTAAAAATATAAACTATAAACAAAATATGAGAAAACACTGGGGTTACTCAACTTTTTTTGTGGTTTAATGGAAATTCCCATATGATCATTGGCTCTAGCTAGTGGATGGTGTTTGGTTTTGCCATATGTTCAGAGCCAATGAACAAATAGGAATTTCCATGAGAACACAAAATAAGGATCACTATCCTTTGGTTGTTTTGTATTTAGTGTGACAGGTCCATAAATGTATATAATAAAAAAAATAATAATTTCTTTTTTCTTCTAAATAGCAAAGAGATTTTTTTTTCATTTTTAATTCTGGTCAATAAATAATTATTTGTAAGCTAATACAATAATATAATGTTGTTTAAGTATTGCCATAGTATATTTTCATGTTTTGGCATTATTCAGACACTAACAATGACTAGACATTTAAGATTTGTTTTAATCAAAATTAGTATTGTTTAGGATACCAGCAGCTCATATAACATGGATTTGTAAAAGAATGGGGTTTCATTGTTTAGATGTTAGAATTCTCATGAGAAAGTTTTTATATTGTTGATGTCTAAAATAAGTGATAATGCAAATGATAGGACTATAGGTAATTTTCTTTTCTTTTTTTTAATATTGAAAATTGGCATCCTGTTTACCAATGTTATAATTGTTTCTTGAAATTTGATTGCATATAATTAGAACTAATTAAAAATCTGAAGTGTTTGTTTTGAACTGGTTTTATTTTCATATCAATAACATTACTATAAATAAATGATATAAGTTTTGAAATCACTGGATTATAACCAGACTGAACTAATTACTTCAAAAATATATTAATGTTAATTTAACTTTGACTTATTTAGGTTACTTAAGGACTATATGATCAACACTGAAAAATTGAAAGTACTATATTTTTGTAGCAGAAATCTTTACTTGTACTTAAAAAATAATGAATATGTGGTTACTGTGTTACAAAGCTAGCTTTTTAAAAAGGCCATTCTACCATCACTGTAAAAATGAAACATTACTGTAACTGTTGTGAATAAGTTAAACGTTGTTGTTTATTGTTAACACAATAATACTATATTACCTGAATATGCTCTCTAAATTTATTCATTCCCTAATGGTTTTCAACTTTTGTGAGATAATTATAACTATCAAAATTTTTATTTTACAAAATAAATTGACGCTATTCTAATTTTTTTATTTGACTTTAAATTCCCCTTGAGGTGGATTCCTGTACGTAGTGAGGGGATCTCCCGGGGAAGGTTCTGTATTTTCAGTTTCCTCATCTGGGATCTAAACATCCACCCACATGTTTGCCATGCGTGGTGACCCGTGAAGGGGAGGAGAGAATCCTGGTGGTTTAGTGGCGTTTGGGGCACTACAACAAACCACTTTGGCCTTGAATTCCTGTAGACCGGTGGCCTTGGGGTGCCCCCTCAGGATCAATCGGCTGTTCATGTAGGCCTAGGGTCAACTGAGTACCAGTGTTGGGCATTCTCAGTGGGTGTTGTGGACATTGTGTCTGATGCTGGTGTTTGAGTGTAGTGCTCACAAAAAACCTTGGAATTTTTGTAGTGTCCTAGTTTGACATTGTAGTGCATTTCCTCGTAGGAATCCATTGTGGGTGGGGTCAGTGGGCACTGAATCTTCCTCTTTTTATTATGGATCCCCCAAATCCTAAAAAAAGTTTATAAAACTCCGCTCATTGGTAGATGACCATGCCTTGAAGACTCCAAACAGCAGTCTCCACCACATTGTGCAACTGTACCTCATTTCCTGATCCTACATTCACTGTATGATAAAAACTTTAGGGCAAATGTCTCCCTTTTTTTATATAGAAGAGATTAGAGGGGCTTGTTGGCTCTCCAAAAGCAGTTAAGAAGCTCCGTTCTGAAGACATCCTGGTGGAAACATCCTTAGCTAAAGACAGTGAACTTCTCCTGAATTCCAAGGTCATTGGGATTATACCCATTGAGGTTACTTCTCATGCTTCTTTGAATTCCTCTCAAGGAATCATTGTTGAGAGGGGCTTGAAGAACATCCCGAATCAGAGATTCTTGCTGGTTTCTCCAGCCAAGGAGTTTCAGCAGTTCGAAGGATCTCCACTTGTCAGGATGGAATTATGGTGCCGACCAGTGTTCTTATACTGATGTTTACATCTCCACATCCACCTGCTTCAATAAAGGCAGGGTATCTAAACTTTTGGGTACGGCCATATATTCCAAATCCTCACAGATGTTTCCAGTGCCAGTGGTTTGGAAACTCAAAGGCATCCTGTCGTTGTTCTTTAACGTGTGCTCATTGTCGTGTCAAAGATCGTGATGCCTACATGTGTGAACTGGACCCTTGCTGTGTGAACTGTAAGGATTCCCACCCCTCATACTTCTGATCTTGCCCTAAATGGGGGGGGAGGAGAAAGAGGTACAGCATCTGAGAGCTGTGAACAATATTTCTTTTCCTGAGGCTCAGAAATTGTTGTCCCCAACTCCATCTTGGACTTATGCTGCTGCATTACATTCCACTGCTACAGTGGGAGTGCTGACAGAACTTTTCATGCCTCTGACAGAATCATTTTCACAGCATCTGAAGAACCTTTTGCCCTCTATGGATAAGCGAGTTGACAAGTCTATGTTTACTCATGTCTCTGTCCCCACCAATGCTTCCAGTGACTGCCAGGGTCCATCTCCTTTGGTTCGAGTTTGTTTCCAGTGCTAGCTCGGGTCCATCTTCTATGGCCCTGCACTGCAGAGAGATTATTCTTCCACATCCTCAGTCACTGAAATCAGCTTTTACAGACAGAGATCTGCCCATTTGACCTAGGGCAGGATCCACGGAGGTCTATCGACCTCCATTTAATAAAGAAAAATGGTGTGGTTGTAAACAGAACAGTTCTACTCCCCATTCTCCTCCACCTAAATAAATATGGCCACATTGATACAGTGGAACTGTTGAGGTTTCCATTCTAATTTCGATGATATTAAGGCCTTGATCAATCACTATCATCCTGTGTGTCTCTCATTACAGCAAACATTCCTGAAACCTGCCAGTAGTCACATTTTGGCAGTTTTCTTTATACTGGAATGACAGGTTGAGTGATGGGCGAGTTCATGGAGGGGTGGCATTGCTGGTTGACCTACCTTGTCTGTGCCACTAAATACACCCTTGGAAGCAGTTGCCATCAGGGTTTCCTTGGGTTATAACATCACTGTTTGTTCCATCTACCTGTCTCCCGGGGAGATCCACAATCAATCAGACCTTGATGCTTTCATCGAACAGTTGCTGTCTTCCTTCTAGGAGACTTTAATGGGCACAATCCCCTTTGGGATGGTGACAATGTTGATGGAATGGTCGTTCCACAGAACGTTTGCTCTCGGATCATGACCTGTCTCTCTTTAACACTGGTGCTTTTACTTACTTTCATGCACCTAGTTAGTTTTCACTGCTCTCTCAGAACTTGATCCTGCCATCGTCTATCTGCCATCTATAGATGACTGTGTGGAAGCAGTGACTGACTGTATTATAGAGGCAGCTGCTCATTCTATTCCAAAAACCTTAACACAATTTCCACAGTATACTCGTCCATGATGGAATCCTGCCTGCCAATGGACACAGAAGGCTCAAAAATGGGCCTGGGTTATCTTCTGACAGTATCCCTCTCTTTCTAACTGTGTACTTTATCAGCAGGCCCAAGCCCACACTCAACAAGTCAGGTATCAAAGCCAGATAGAATCTTGGATTAACTTCACCTCCAACAGCTCTTCTACCACCAGTTCCAAAGTCATCTGGAAGACGACTTGGTAAGTCAGTGGGAAATATGCTTCCCATCCTCCTTTCCATCTTGCTCTCAGATGGCCAAAAAGTTGCTGATATACGAGGCATAGCTGATGCTCTCAGGGATTCTTTCTTCTATTACTCCAGCACTTCTGTTTCCTCTCCTGCCTTCTTGACCATCAAGTCTCAGGCAGAGCAATCACCTCTTTCCTTTTGGGCAGATCGTCTTTATGACTATAATTGCCCCTTCACACTGGTGGAACTTAAACTTGCTCTTCATTGGTCCGGCAGTACATCAGTTGGACCCGATGATATCCAGTACGAGATGCTGTGCCATCTTTCTCCTACCTCTTTTGCTATTCTGGTACATTTTAACCAGATCTGACAAGAAAACATTTTCCCAGATGCTTGGTGCCCGGTTATTGTTCTACCTTTTTCTAAGCCTGGGAAGGATTCCAAGATTTCTTCTAACTATCATCCAATTGCTTTGACTAGCATGTCTCATTTGGTTTCTGGAATCAAATAACCTCCTTTTGCCCACCCAGTGT